ATATATTATAAATTATAAAATATTATAAGTAACATTAAATTTAAAGTAAATAAAATATATTATAAATTATAAAAGGATATAATTACTTGATTTGATTTTTCTATTTATTATTTATTATTATTGTCTTTTATTTTTTTATACAATTGAAATTTAAAATAAATTTTTAAAATATAAATTATAACTTAATATAAGAAAAAAAATCAAACTTTTAATATTAAAACAAACGTTTAAAGAAATTTATTAAGGTAAATACATGTCAAAAAAAAATTAGAGTAGGTGTAGGAACAGGGACACAATTTCAGAGCAGGAGATTTTTATTCTCAAATATGCGACACGAGAATAGTCAAAACAAAATTTTAATATCCGGAGGACAATAAAAAATAGGGTAAAATATAGTAATGGTCACTGAACTTTGTTAAAACTTTCATTTAGGTTCATCAACTTTTAAAACTTGCAATACAGTCCTCCAACATTTATTCCGTTTGCAATATAGTCCTCGACGTTACACTGTCATTAATACGTTTTCAATATGGTCACTGAACTTTTCAGGCACTTTTATTTAGGTCCCCCAACTTTTAAAACTTGCAACGCAGTACTCAATTTCATTTTAAACCCCAAATTCTTTTTCATTCTTGATTTTCATTTAGAAAAGTTCTTTCATCAAACGAGATAGATCTATTCAAGGTGCATTTACTTATTTTATCGTGTTTGTTTATATAAAATACTTCTAGTTTACAAGTCAATTTAAAAATGCTTAAAATATATAAATGATCTTTAATTACATGATATTATTTTATAAAGTCTCACCAACTATTAAAAGTTACAAAATGACGTATTAAGAGTTTTGTTTTATCAAGTCTCCGACTATTAAAAGTTACATAATGATCACATTATTATTCGTATGTTCAATTTGTCTCTTTATATTAAAAAAATAATTGTCGTTTGAACCAGACACTAACCCGTTGAATGAAATATGATGAAATATGTTCAACATCCGTAAATTTTTCAAGTTAAAAAATTGTTTATACAAAAAACGAAGCTTTTTAATTTTGAAAGAAAACAAATATACAAATAAATTTACAAACTTAACTAAAATATTTCAATATTTATATGCCCACTTAAGTAATCATTTATCGTACTCGAATGATTCATTGAGACTCTTCCATTAATGTTGATATCCTATCGCGAATAAAGAAACTTGTAACATGCACACAAAAGCGATATGGACGTTTAGCTTATAAAATTCAATAGTATAACATTTACTCTATACTATTTTATGAGGTTCACATACATAAACGTGCAAGTCAAATATAAACATGTACACATTAGGTATAAAGATCTATAATCCTTAATTAATTATTAGGGATTATCATACTTACACAAGTACAAAGAGTAGCATATTTCAAATCAAATAGGTACATACTAAAGTTTTATAATCCTTAATTAATTATGAACATGTACGCATTAAGTATAAAGATCTATAATCCTTAATTAATTATTAGGGATTATCATACTGAAATTGTTATTATATTCATTAACTTATTGACTTTATTTGGAAGGAATTTCATGGTTTTTTTATTTAGTATCTGAATTTCTAAAGTTTATTCTCTCTCTTTTTTTCTCTTATAATAAGTTTTGTAGGTTATATCTATAAGCTTTGATTTTATAAGACTATGATATAGCAATATTTAAGATAAAATTTTCATATTTATTTTCTAAAGAAAATTCGATATCGAAAAGGAATTTGGGGTTTAGAATGAAATTGAAGATTGTGTTGTAAGTTTTAAAAGTTTGGGGACCTAAATGAAAGCGCTTGAAAAGTTCAGTGACCATATTGCAAATGTACTAATGGTAGTGTAACGTCGGGGACCATATTGCAAATAGAATAAATGTTAGAGGACTGTATTGCAAGTTTTAAAAGTTGAGGAACCTAAATGAAAGCTTTAGAAAAATTCAGTGACCATTACTATACTTTACCCTAAAAATATTATATGCAGTGAAATTTTCGACAAAATGGGTCTCACAATTCAAAAATTGATAAAAGACTGAAATAACTAACAAAATCGATCCTATAATTGAAAAATCGATCAAATCATCCTAAACCAAACTGAGTTAATCAACTACTAAGTACTTAAACCAAAAAGATAAGGATAGAGTTTTTTTTCCTCCTAATTTTAAAATTATCAATGACTTATAAATATTAAAATTTTAGAAGGTTAATTATCGAGGCTTAGTTTAAGTATTTTTTTTATTAATTTAAAGGTGGTCACAATATAGTATTTCTTCAAAAGATTCTCAACTTATTTAAAAATGAACTCTTTAACAATCTTAACATACGATATATTCGAACTCGTGACCTGTAAGAATAACAGTCATCACTTTAACCACCGATGAAGCTTGGTTCGTGCTTTAGTTTAAATAATTTTAAAACAAATAAAAAAAATCTTAAATAGAATTGAATCAGGGAAATAGAGGCAAGAAACCTCCCACAGTCGACATGAATGGTTCCCTTCCAAATCACGACCTCGGTGAGTACAAATTGTTTTAGTATAACTGTTATTTCTGATTAATTAATTAGTTAATTAATTTGGATCAAATATTACAAAAAATAATATAAAATTATATTTCTAACTCAGTTTACTCTATTTATAATATGACTTTATTTTAACAAAATTAATATTTCATCTCGCTAAACTAATTAATTTTTGATTTAGTCAAATGAGAAAGGTGTTTGCATGAACGAAGGACGCTCGTTTTAACATATACATAAACATACGCATACGTTATAACTTAATGACAAAAACCCAAGGAATTATGACTTACAGAAAGAGAAAACGAACAAGACAGTGACATGTCATGCAATGCAAAGAAAGGTTGGAAAAATTATGATCTCCAAGTGAAGGCATGCAGTTGAGAATAATTGCAACACCGATGACTCAAGCGTGCAAAATCTAAAGGTTCTTTCTAAAAATTACTATCTTCTACTTTTAAATTAAAATAAATTCAAATATAAATACGCGCTATGTCGATATATCAAATAATAATTGTATGTAAAAAAAGAGATATATGATTAGGGGTGTTTATCGAGCGAGTCGATCGCGAGTTGGACAGTACTTGACTTGTGCTCGTTAAAAAATTTTGTTGTTCGACTTGACTCGTTGCTCATTAAGCTGATTAAATTTTTGCTCGACTCATGCTCGTTAAAAAAACTTGTTGCTCGTTAAGCTCACCGAAATTTTTACCTTATTTTCTTAATTATAGTTAAAATCTACTAATACTATAAAAAGCTTAATATAAACATAAATTAATAAATTTAACCAAAAATATTATCAAAAGAATGTATGAAACAATTTCAAAGTTTAAACTCCAAAGTAACAATCCACAAATATATTAAAATAATTGATATAGTTTGATATTTTAGTGTAGTAAAATACTAATTAATAATTTAGTATTTTTTTGTTGTTTATTAGAAAAGTAATAGATTAGCAATTCATCATCTTTTTTATTATCTATTAGTAAATTATTATTATTTTAATGAAACAACTTTTTAAGATAACTACTGAAAAAATTATATAAAAAAATTAACGAGTTGCTCGCGAACTTATCGACTCGAGTTGGAATTTGCTCGAATCAACTCGTTAAGGTTTCGAGCCGAGCTCGAGTTTGAGTCGAGTCATCTCGAGTCGAGTTTTTATCGAGCTTTGACCGAGTCGAGTTTGAGCTGCTCAAGAACTGCTCAACTCATTAAGCACCCCTATATATGATGATATAGGCTGACAAAATTTAACGAAATAATAATATAATTAAAATCAAAATTTGCTATCACATCTTAATAATTTAAGGGTTTAACACTATAATTAAAATCAAAATCAAAATTTACTATCACAACTGAATAACTTAAGGGTTTAATGGTATGAACAATACATTACTTAAAGTTGAATGACATTTGAAGTAGTTTACCCTAAAAAATAAAGGATAAATCCAAGGGAACGATGTGTGGTGAGAAATAAATGGCAAATTTGAATTCATGAATAGCTCTCTTGTTAACATCAAAATAAATGGCAAAGGCAACGTGTTTCTATGTGATTGATGGCAAAACATAACAAAGAAATACCATCGTTTAATAGTATTGAGAGCAATGTTGTACTCATCAATTAATATCATTTGGTAACTCATTTAAGTTTCTTTTCAATTTGATTGATGTATCATGTATGACTCATGCCCTAAAATTTTGGCACCATTTACATTTATTGCTATGTTGATTATTTAAGGGGTTCTTTTTTTTTTCCTCCTAATTTCCTTCTTTTAGTGAAAAAGGAATTAATGATTAATTCATCAACTAAAAATAGGCTGGCTATATATTCATTATTTGGCACCATCTTGATAACTTAGTCCCCTATATGTATATCATATTATAAGCTATTTTTTATTTTAATTGAATTATTTTTATATCATATTATATTTTTTTACTTTTAAATTTCATGGTTGATGAGATTTCATTAAGTGACTTCGGTAATAAAAAGGATGTTCTTTCTAGATGTTTTGAGTTTGAGCAGTTACATCTATGGAGTCTATATATATATTTTTCAATTAATCAAATTTTTTGAACATATATTACTTTATAATCATATCGAATTATTAAAAGAATCATGGTTAATGAAAATAAAATTAACGAGTGTAAAAGACTATCCAATAATTAAACTTTTATGTAATCGTTTGTAATTATATACATGTGACATTTGAGTGGTTGTAATTAGTGGATCTTTTATCTTTTATTCCTTTTATCAATAAACTATCATTACTCTATATATATATTTTAAGATTAATTTATATGGATGATATTAATAATGATATTTATTTATTTAAGTCTAAATTCTTACATACTAGATGGAAATCATAGAATAATGGGTCCGTTGGCATCCCTAGGCTCCGGCACTCGCTTTCACATTCATGGCCATGGCAGCTTCATTCCTCCATTGATGAATCCCTTGTTTTATAGGCCCCACCTCCTCCGATCTTAGCTACCCTCTTCCATTTCTCTCTCTTATCTCCTTCCCATTTTGGATTCTATTCATTTTCTATTTCTCAAAAAAAGGAGGAAAAAAAAAACACTTTGATGGAGAATAATGAGAGGGAAACACACGATTTCATGAACGTGGAATCCTTCTCTCAGCTTCCCTTTATCCGACCTCCCCCTAATAAAGAAAAGTGTATTCGTTTATTCGGCAAGGAATTTGGCGGCCGCAACAGTGGTAACTCGGCTACGGCAGCCACCGTCTACGACTCAAAGCCAGACTCACTTCAGAACAACGAAGACACGGCCAAGGAAAACGAGAATGAAGATAATAACAACAATAATACCAACAGAAGATTTGAGTGTCACTATTGTTGCAGAAACTTCCCCACTTCCCAAGCTTTAGGTGGTCACCAAAACGCTCACAAAAGGGAACGCCAACACGCGAAACGACATCAGCTAACCATGCACCGCGACTCTTCTTCCTCCGATGCTCAAAATATTTATGAGGTTTTCAACTATAAGCTAGCCGTAGCTCAACCAACGCCGCCGACGGCGGCTTACCATTCGTGGAACAATAGTATAAACATCAGTAACGGTAAGTTTTATGGGAACCAAGGCTCGTTTTCTCAGCCACCGCTCATCAATGGCAGCCCAGTACTGGGGTTCATGAGAATCCCTGCTACAGTTCAGAGTAGATTTTTCGCCAGCGATGAGTTAAAGCTTCCGTCACAGGTGGTGGTCGGTGGTTCAAGTTTGCAGAGACGTGGGTACGTTTATGAATCGAAACCTAACGTAAGTGACCATGTTAGCTTGGATCTACATTTGTAACCGAGATCCCAGATTGTTTTGAACGTACAGCAGCTTCTTGTCTTGTGGTGAGCAAACACACCCAGTTTCATTCGAGTGAAGAAGTTTAATGATAGGGTTTAATTAAAGCATCAATAGCAGGGACATAATTGATTTCAACCTGCAGGCCATTTCCTACTTTCTCTCTCAACTCAAGTTCCATGTGCTTCATAAACGGAGGGGGAAAATCATCATTTCTTTTTCTTTTTCCTTTCTTAACGTCTTGGATTTTACTATTTCCAGAATGATTTCATATGTAAATGAAATAATTTATCTCTTCGTTTGTTTGCAATGTTAGAGGATTTTTTTAAGGATTATTTATAATTTTTTTGTAATCTATGTTCTTCCCATCTCAAGAAATCCTTACAAGTGCGGAGAATATTTTCTTGTCTTTAAGGGTGTTTGGATGAGGGAATGTGAGATTTCCATGGGAATGGAATCCATATTCCCCCGTTTGGTTAGCCCGGGAATCCTATTCCCGGTAATGTAAGATTACCAATATTGAATTTTTTGGGGTATATTATCGGGAATGTCATTACCTTCCATTCTTTAGGTATTATTGGATTATCGACGTTTTGGACTAAAATGTCTTTAAATTTTTATTTTATTTTTTCAAAAATATCATTCTTCTGTCATTAAATAATAAAAATTCTACGAAGGTTAAATTACAAATTTATACTTAAATTATTTTAGATTTACAAAAAAAAATCTATAATTAAAATTTTATATGAAGTTCAAGGGTTAAAATAAAATTTTACCCTTTCATTAAAATTTTTTATATTTTATATTTTGTAAAAAAATTATATAAATATTATGAATTTAAATTTTTTAAAGAAAATATATAAATATTTTTCAACTTGTAGTATTATACAAATATATAAATGACAATTTGGTCAAATATACATTCCAATAATCTTTTATTCCTTTAACCAAACACGGTAATCTTACATTCCTGCTAAGCCAACCAAACACAAAATACAATATTCCCAGTAATCCTATTCCCTGATAATCTTACATTCCCACTGGTAATCTTACATTCCGTGAACCAAACGCACCCTAAAGGGATTATAAGTAAGGATAAACTGAGAAGATGTTATATCGTATTGCAATCATATTTTTAAAATTTAAAATTTTATATATAATTTAAATAATTTTTTATATTTTTATTAATACAATTTTCTTTTTCTTTTTTAAATACTGTCGTGAAGTTTTTATTACCGAGGATAAATAAAACATAAAATAACATTAAAGTGGTGGGTAGCTGTCCCCCGTTAAAGTTCTCTAAACACTACTAAACTATTAAAAGAAAAGTAAAGACCACTAAGAAATAAAACAAACATTGAAAGAAAAAACCTCGAGAGACGACAAATCCTCTTTGCTCTCCAGACGATCAATCTTTATGGAAAGGGAGCTAAGAGAAGAAAAAATGAGGGGAGAAAATGAAGATGCCTTCTATCTACTTGACAAAACCAAAATTCACGGTGGATCGATGTTCCTGCGATCCCGATTGATGATTTAGCTAACCTCGTTCGGTGCCTCTTCCACCCAAAAAAGGTCGACTCCTTCTTTTAAACGTCTTCGAGCCAGTGCATGGGCTGCTTGGTTACTATTTCTAGGTGAGAATATGAAAATGAATGTTTAAAAGTTGGATGCTTTGTGTTGAATATCTATGATTAAATTATGAATTTCTGACAGATCCGTTCCAGATGGCTTGATGCGATGGATGCCTGAACATGCATCCCCTTCTACCTCAATGCTCCTGAAACCCATTTCTTTAGCAAAACACAACCCTTGCAGAAATGCTCCGGCATCTCTTGTATGAACAGTTGTTGGGAAATAAGCGAATAATTTTTCTATAATCAGATTAGTGAGAATACAAAATAAAAGCGAAAAATAATATCCGAAATTAATAACGGAGTTCAATCAATTTTGTCTACATCTCTGGATTGCTGCAGATCTTTTAATAAAGAGAGAAAATTTACATGCGTTTACAAAACACTCACAACTCACAAGAAAACTCTCTAGTATTGGGAGAAAGAAATGATTTGGGATGATTTTGAAGCTAAATGAGTAATGGTATTTATAGTTAAAGCTTCGGAACTAACATTGTAAATACCCTAAAAATGAAGGGAATAAAGTACAATATTCCTATTTTCATTTTCAACAAAAATAACACCGAAATCGGTGCATTAATTCACTGAAAATTTCCAGCCAAAATTGTTGAAAGTTTTGGCTCATACTTGACTTTTCAACAATCTCCCACTTGAAGACTAATTTTAATCTGTCTTCACACCTCGATCGATGCAGTAATATTGGTGGTTTTGTTATTCTAGCATGCCAACTAAAGCACAACTTCAGTTTGTGTGTAGTCACCTCCCTGTAAAACCACTTGTTATTGGACAGTTTCTCTGTGGTTGCCTTGTCCCTCAACGTCTTGGCTTCCTTCGACTCTTGTCTACTAGTATTTGAAGGATTGTTCCTCACTTGAGCATCCTCGGCAAGCCCTTGCTTCGACCTTTCTCTTAAGATGGTCTTTGAAGCCATGTTCTCTACACGAACATGCTCGACAAACTCCTTGGACATGGACAATTCCTCTTGCACTTGGCTTCTACTCGCCTTGGCAGAAATGAACCTTATTGAGCCAACTCTTAACACCTCTTCAATCTTGGGTTTGTCCTCTTCTCTGGACAACTCGATCTTAGGCTTATCCATTACCTTGGATGACTCGGCTCCCCTCAGGTAATTTTGCAACACTTCTGGCATCTTAAGTCTGCGCCCCTTCGTTTGCTCGACTCTTACCCTCGACTTAGCATCTTTGACACTCGAACTTGTGCCAAGACTGCACACATCTTCCCTAGACTCACCATCTGGTTCATCATTGAGTGGACTTTCTCTGCCACTTGAGGAACAATATTTCTCATCCTTTGATTTGCCTTCATCATGGATTCGCTTGCCACTACCCTCGACTTTCGGCTTTGTTTTGGAAGTCTTGTTTTTCTTGACTCCAAATTCTTTGATGGACTCAGCGGTTATCAAGGCTTTAGACAACTCCTTGACTTCCCTTCGCTCCAATACTCTCTTCGCCCATGGCTTCAATCCAAACATGAAGGTGAAGAATCCATATTCTTCAGTAAAACTTGGGACTTTGAGCATGAATTTTCTGAATCGACTCACATACTCCTTAACTGTTCATTTATGCCTGAGATGCCTCAACTTGGACCACGCTTCCATCCTGGCATACTGTGAGCAGACTTTCTCACTTTGCACCCTCGGCTTGACAGCTTTATCTCTTGCTATCGCATCGAGTCCTTTCTTGTGCTCGACTACTTTGACACCTGCAGTCTCGTCATGTTTTCTTCCGGGTTCGACTGCTTCAACATCAACAACCTTGCCTTGTCTCGATCCTTGCTTGGCCGCACTGATCCCCTCAATCGGACCAAGTCTTTTTACTGGCTTGGTAGCTTTAACACTTGTGACCGCACCAATTTCCACTACTTCTCCTTCTCCTATCCTCTTCATGATAGTTGTAAGGCGACGCTTCTCGGGATATCCTCTAATCAAATGAGGACCATCACAGAAATAACACTTAAGCTTTTCCTTGCTCACCTTCTTCTTCACCCCGGACTTAGCCTTGTCATTCTTTCCCGATGGCATTGCTTGGCTACGAACAGTCGATGGCTCTCATTGGCCATTCGAAGAGCTTTCTCTACTATCTCCCTGCTACACCTTTTCCCGGTCTCCCCCACTGTTGCCATTATCTCTAGGCATGGGCCTGAATGACACATCACTACTTGGCTTGTCACCTACAAGCTCAGTCAGCTTTTCGACTACAGCTATGGCCTCCGAAAGTCTCTGGGATTTCCTTGCTCTCCCTCGAGCATCGCCCCTGGTCTAAGTCCTTCCAAGAAGGTCTTGAGCGCATCCCATTCACTCATTGTTTCCTTGCATATGAACAACTCCCTCTTGAGCTCATCAACTTCGTTTCTCAAAACCATCGCTCCTACTCGAATCTGGCTTCTTTTGGATCGTTTCTGACAATTTTTACGAAACACCGTGTATTAGAACACCTCCGTCGACAAATTCGTATCGCCGACCAAATTTCACTATTCATGAAATTCAATATTCACTTGAATAGTAACCTCACAGAAAAATTGACAAAATTCACAACCAAAAGCTCTGATACATTTGTTGGGATATAACCGAGTAATTTCCCTAAAACCAGATTAGTGAGAATGCGAAATAAAAGCGTAAAATAATACTCGAAATTGATAATGGAGTTCAACCAATTTTGCCTACATCTCCGGACTGTTGCAAATATTTTAATAAAGAGAGAAAATTTACAGGAGTTTACAAAACACTCACAACTCACAAGAAAGCTCTCTAGTATTGGGAGAAAGAAATGATTTGGGATGATTTTGAAGCTAAATGGGTAAGGGTATTTATAGTTGAAGCTTAGGGACTAACCTTGTAAATACCCAAAAAATACATGGACTAAAGTGAAATATTCTTATTTTTATTTTCAACAAAAATAACACCGAAATCGGTGTATTAATTCACCGAAAATTTCCAGCCAAAATTGTTGAAAGTTTTGGCTCATGCTTGACTTTTCAACAACAATAAGTGAATCAGCTAAGTGAGCCAAGCCTCGTTAGTGATGTCTTCATGTTGGTATAAAAGAAGCGAGCTATATACAAAACATAGCAATATACAGTGTCGCATAATACCACATATTTTAGTACTTCAATTAAAAGAGATCAAGTATGTTAAGCATCGTTGTTATAACGTTATCCATAATCAAATAGCTCAGTGGTGGAAACTGATAGCGAGTGAAAGATGTAGAGTCTCAGAACCCCTAAGTTAGAATGCGGTTGCGTGAGATCTCAACTTTGTCCAGGAGAGTCGAATGTTGCTAGTTTCTCTTAGCAAGTGTTCGATTTCCAGTTGGGAGCACCTTAGATGCTCGATCAGGTGTGTAGCGCGTGTGTATACCGCGAGGCAAATGAGAACCAGTCATGTAGTGTGGAAGAGTATTGAATTAGATTTGCATAGCAGAAGCATAAAGCTCGATGTTAGAAAGTCGAGAATTATTGTCCGATCTTTAGTATTGAACATTGAAACCGTGTATGGTAAGTGTTTGCATGATCTCAGCATGTAGTATGTCAATTTACCTTATTTGA